TCATGTAGACAAGCCTGGTGGGCTAGCTGGAATCTAGTTAGCTTGGGTACTAATAATAGTGAAGCTGGGATAACACAGGCTTCAGCTGTTAAGTACACATTGCTCCAAGCAGGCTGGTACAGCCCAGACTGCTGCAGCTTCACTGCTACTGCTATCCAATCTAGCCAATTCAAGTATGCTTGCACATGCTGCAGTAGCTGTGTCTCAGTTGCTGTGTACTTACCATGGAGCCTAAATCTCATTGAAGGACCTTTTACCTGATACAAAGGGGCTAGAACAGAGATAAGCAACTCAAACAGTACTGTGTAGATAATCTTGCTGCATCCACTCTGTATGTGCCACCTCCCAAGATGGAAGTAATGTAGATGCCCCAGTGTGAAACTTGGCACATGCCAATAAACTCTACAGAGCTTAAAAACTCTCTTGAATTTACTGGTATGGGTCCAGAGCCACAATGAGGTGACTACGTGACTTCCATTTTGGGAGGCAACACATATGGACGGAGCATGCCTATTTGCAGCACTCCCGGTCCAGTACTGGAGCAATGCAGATATCACCTAGCAGCCCTATAAGTGATTAGGAGAAGAGTCTCCAGTGCAGGCACCAAAGATGACAACTGTAAGCTGGCCTTCTGAGGACCCTTTGCAAGCTTAAGCATAGAGGGTGTGTTGCAGGCAGAGATCTAACACGTAATGCTGAGGTCCATAAAGCTGGAGGGATGCTTCATAACTTAACTGTACAAGTCATGCCAGAATCCTCCCTAAACCCTGAAGGAACTAAGTGGCTCAAGCCTGTCCCTTGGGCTTTCTGCTACCTGTGCTGAAAATTGTGGCTCCCTCCTCTTAGAAACATTAACTCAGATTCTCACCCTATTAGCAGGAATTTCTAAATCCTTCCTGGGCTCCACAGAAATTCAGTTACAGTGATCAGCCTCAGATCAGGATTAGGGTAAGAAGCCAACCATACGTGAGTTACCACAGAAAAATATAAACCAGGAAAGGCAAAGCCACTGATTTCCAAAATCATATGGTCTATTCAGGGAGCTATTTCAAAATAATTTTTGTGCTTTACATTCAGAATTTCCTGAACTATATTTCAAGTGCAGGAAAAAAAAACCTAATTCAATTTTGAAAATATGATCTAGGGGCATTGCCATACCTGAATGCTATTTCTGATTTTCTGCATGTATGGCCACTTATTTTGGAGCATGAGTGACAACCTGGAAGGTTACCCCGTCAGAATTTGCTTAACTTCTGAAATTTTTTAGAAAACTTTATCCAACATGGTTACAAATGGATTATATTCTTTAGAAACAACTATAACTGTTTGACACTGAAGGCCTAACTCTTCTTCCGTCAACAAAAAGTTTGAGTTTTTAAAAGGCAGATCCCTGGACATGTTCAAGGAAGTGATACTTAATAACTTATTTGCTTTTCAGAAAACTACGACTAATTAGGAATACAGAAAAATATTCTGACAAAAATAGGTGCAATTTCTGCCAGCTATTTTTTTCTTTTTTTTTTTTTAACTTGGCATTCACAGAATATCCTGATCAGTGCAAATGCTTTTGCTACATCCATGTGTAAGAACAACTTATATTTATATAGCACCTTTTATTGTCAGGAAACCCAAAGGCTTTTTGCAAAATACACACAAGCGCTTACTTTAGTGTCACTGAAATGCAGCTATCACTGGATGAAATGCATCACTTAACCAGTGCACAGGAACTTTACATAATGGTTTAAAACAAGATGTATACACAACTGACAGAATGAGCAGAACTGTAGATGGATGGAATACAACTATCCAAACTGGAATTTGGCCAGGACTCTGTCATTAAGTTTTCAGGACAATTACCTTAGATGCAATCATCATCGTAATTACCTGAGAAACAGACTTCACACAAGTTTGGAGAATTGCTGCCTGTATTCTGAACTGTACAGGGTTCCCAAGTTAGTGTGGGTCAAACCATGAGGAGACTCTACAGCAGAAGAATAAACTGGGAGCTTTAGGTTTATTCTAGTTGTGAGGAAAGAAAGGTGGTTAACTGCATACAAGTTATTAGTAACACTTAACTGACCACAGAGATACTCTCATTATAAATGGCCTTATAATTTTATAAAAGTCATTACACATGAAGACAATACATTCTTTTATTAAAAAAAAAAAAGACGTCTTGGTTTATCTGATGAGTTTTAATTCTCCATGGTAATGACACATAACTGGAATTCCCAGACTGAAATGAGATCATCTACGCTCTGTTTGTTGAAACCAAAGAAAAATTAACTCCATCACTTTAATCACTACTAAAGTCCCTACGTATTCTATCATCAGCTGAGAGAGTCAGAGGTGGGAAATAAGAAACCATTAGTTGAAAGTAAAATTAACTGTAAAAATCCTGAGAAAGAGGAGTGTGAGCAGGACCCAAACCTTACTTACATGACAAACCTGCTGATAAATATTTTACCCCATACAAGTCAAACACTTCTGGGTTGGCTAGCTGGCAAACATTATCCCTTTCCCATTATCCTGAGGGAGACTAGGAAGAAGATCAGGAATGATTAATTTGTAATCAACAAATTATTTGCGTCTAGGTGCAGCTCAAGAGGGGGTGTGGTGGGGTGACTGCACCCCACTTTGGCTGTGCCACACATGAGCTGTTGGCATGGAGTGGGGCCTGTGCTTTCAGGTAGCTCCAGAGCCCAGAGGAAGAGTGCTGCTGCTGCTGCTCATTCCCTCCTTTCCCTCTGAATTCAGTAGAGAGGGGAAGAGAGAACATCAGCAGTCTTTACGCCCTGCAATTTGAAGCCATGCGAAAGCTGGGGTTCCTGCCAGACCCAACCCTGATCAGCTGATGAGCTCAGAGCTCATCCTAACCTCCAGCTGGAGCCTGTGTTGACCAGGCAGTGAGCTCAGGG